TCCTGACTCGAGGGAGTATTACATTTATCTCTAGATAGAATGGACTTACGTACCGAGTACCAAAAAGATGTAAGAAAATTCGGGATAGCTGAGGGTAGAGTAGGGGCACAGTTAGAAACATATATTAAATGCCAGATGGATAATTTTGATTATATGGTTGCCCGTAATGCTGCAGAGAAAAAGCGCCAGTTGGAGCTAGAAGAATATAATAGGCAGGAACAGCTTAGGAAAGAAGAGTATGAAAGAGAGGAGCAGCTAAGGAAAGTAGAGTATGAAAGAGACATACAGCTTATAAGAGAAGAATTAGAAAGAGAGATAGAGTGTATTCAGGAAGGATTTGCTGAAAGGATGAGGCGTAAGAGTGAAGAAATTCATCGAAAACTGCTACTTGAGAGGGCAGAAAAAGATAGGATAAAACAGCAAGCAGAAAACATTAGCGTTGAGGAAACTGCGAGTATATGCGAGGTAAAACCAATACCTCAGGCTGAAACTCAAGCAGGTATGGTGGGGGCAAACTATCTAACCATTGTGGTGTGCACTCCTTTGGCCAAACTCAACAGCTAAGGAAGAAAACATAAAAAACCGGAGGACAGTATCTCACACCTCTTATTCCTACAGAGAAAAGAGGCAACAAGGAGAACTCTTCTTTAGGGATAACCAGATCTACATTGCTGGACCCCTTTACTTCCATTCTTAAGCCTAAAAGGAAAAGATGGAACAAGAAGCAGAAATCTTCTAAAGGGACCAGATCTACATTGCTGGAACCCCTTACTCCCATTACCTCAGACGAGATAAATGAGAGCGAACCTGACAGTAGTGACAAGCGTGATAACGGTTGTAACCGTAGACATAGCTGTTCGACTGACACACCAGACATTAATGAGGACGAGGGCAAAGACTTACCCAACTCCCATATCCCCTTTGGTCCCTTCATGCAAGAAGAGGAATTAAAGCAGACTGATGTAGGGAATAACGCTGAACCTGTGTCCCCTATTTCCTTGGATGCGGCCGCATGCCTAATGGAATGTGTTAGTTCTGACTTTACACCCGAAGGAGTTGACTGCGATGGCGGCAACACACCTCCTGATTTGCTTTCACTGGACTTGGCATATGAAAGCCAGACCAATGTGAATATAGCAGATGAGGAGGAGAGTTCCCTGGACGTCTTGACGATCTTAGAGACTCGACATAAACAGGACAATTCTGCTAGGCCTGTGCACGTCGATAATGGACAGACAGAAGTGTTTGCCATTATCGAAGAAGAAAATACTTTTCGTGAGCAGGGAGACAACTTGTCTCTGCTGCCTTGTACAGCTGGGGCGACAGGGATACTTCTGATGAAGGACCCTGAAGCGGAACAAGCCGTGAATAGTAGGGAACCCCAACATTCTGGTCTTGTAGTACTCTTTGCTTCGAAGGAAGTGACAGGGGTATCTCAGCTGGTGGTGGAAACTTCATTGCGAAGAAATTCCACATTACAGTCTACAGGAAACCCTGAGTTTTTTACTGATTTGACTGTATACCCTGACTTGATTTCGTGCTCTGACTCTGGACTGATCTTTGTTAAAGACAATTCCACCCTGACAATTTGGCAAGGTAAAGACAGAATGCACCGAAGAGGCAACAAATGGACACTCTTCAGAGAAATTGTTAGTGGTAAGTGGCACTCACTTCGTGGGATCACGATGAGTGAAGATATCCCTCGTTTTAAGAGGAGATTTGTAACAGATTTTTCAAGGATCTGTAGACGGAGGAAAAGAGGATCCAACCTGACTGCAACTAATCCTTTTAGTAGAACACTTCAGGCTCTCCCTAGGCAGATAGGGCGCGGCGAAGTGAGGAAACGCACAGAGGTTGTCAGTCAACGGCGCAGAGGAGTCCCGTTGACAAAGCGTGGATCTTTGATTATCCGATGGAAGGAGGAACCTCCGGACAAAGGGACATTACCGAGCGACTGCTTGGAATACCCGCTCAATACCAGGATCAATGACAGTATTGAATTATCCTGGATGAAAGGACACGGGATGTCTGCAGATGAGTGCAGGACTTTCCACTGCCATAAAGAATACTGGAAACAAAAAACTTATGGGCAGTTATGCAAAGAAGGACTTGAAATTCTTGGAAGCCACAGAGCGTGCTGATGTGCGGTCAGGGTGACCGAACTTAAGGGGGAGGCTATGTGACAATACGCTCGGTGACTTCAGAAGGTCTTTCCTTAACCTACTTTTATTTCTTTGTATTTTGAAAGTATACAGGAAAATAGGGATTTGGATACATTCTTTATTTTAAGTAGGCGAAATGAACAAGCATTTAATTCTCCTGGGATGTTGGCGATATCACACACTAAAACTTTTTCCCAGACGTTAAGTGTTAAGGTACAGAGATAAGACTGACCAAGCAGACTTACTGACTGGAGATTTGCACACCATCTGTTGGTGTCAGAAATTTTATCTCCTAGCCAGACTTTTAGGAGCAGCTAACTCCGGCTAATTGTGTTTAATTCCCCCTGAGGTTACCTAAACTGGAGTGCCGGTCCGACGGTCACTATTGACACAGTGAGCGGAAAGTGTTGGCAGAAGAATTGACAAAGTCGGATTTTATTGTGATGACCGGTGAAGTAGGCCAGAGGTGTGACTTGTCCTATTTGCTCTGTCAGATGAATTGACCAGGAGATCCTAGCGTGGGAATTCAAACAATCGTTGTACAGTCACTGACTGACAGTGAATATACACCCACAGGGGAGGAGCTGTGATATCCCGTAATGAGAATGATTTTAGGCGTAATGTAGGAGGAGCTTGATAAAAGTTATAAAGGGGTGAACTATAGGTCTGGTAAATGAGATCCTGTCGAGCACATGCCATCTGTTGGGCTTAACCTAAGCTTGAGACAGAACTTTTGGCATCGTGATTTCATTTTTCCAGGTAAGATCGAAATTAGGTTCACATCTATATTTTATGATAGAGATCTGTCTTTTTGCTCAAGTGTGTGTCTTCATCACTTTGTAGTACTCCTAGGCGGACATTTCTTCATTCTCGTAGGGCACTGTCACATTGCTTTATTTCCTATTTGATAGTGTCATGAATGTTTTTCGGGCACATGTGTTTCAATGTTGTAAAACCTAAATGTTGTTGTTGCCATTGAAATTTAATGAACTATCATGTTTTTGAAATCACAAGCGTGAAGATAACTTTGGCAATCTTTTCACGTGTGGTTAATGTGAATCTGTATTACATACAGCTAACACACTGAAATGTGTTTAACTCTCGGGAGGCTAATGCGGAGATTGATCCCGGAGAGTAAATCCACGAGATTTGTTATTTGATTCGCCCCAGAACTATTGTTAGCATTCTGGGCGCGTCGATTGTTCCAAGCATAGATTCCAGAACTGGTTCTGTCTGACTGATTGTCATTTTGAGTCTGTACGAGAGATGGCACCTGACGTAGAAGACTTGACTATCATTACAGGACGTGTAGAGGAAGGCAGAAGATGTAACAGTTGGAATGTGAGACATAAGCCCTTCCAAATTGGACAGGAGTGAATGTGAGCATGAGGGAGAGATGAAATGTTTTATTTAAATAAACATGCTTGATGTTAGTATAATATACATGCTTAGTGTACATCTAGAGCAGATACTACAAATATGCGCTTGTTTCTTCATTCTCCAGTTCCCACATTGGGCAGGGACTAGTAGGCATCCATTATTTGCCGACCGTCGAGTGTAACGACCTGCAGAAAGCAGTGAGGACGACAAACTGGAAAAGATAGGCAGGGTCTCAAGCCGAGAACTGTCCTGATGAGCTAAGTTATGTACAACTTTAATGTCATCTATAACATCATCCCAACTCTACTAGCCTAAACAAGTTCATTTTATTTTAATTTCGATTTATTAAATAAATAAATCTTTTTGATGTTGTTACACATAGTTAAGTAAATTGTGTACTTAGGTTCAAGTGTCTTTGTGCATATTAGTTTACTTCAGCTAACAAATATTTAAATCACTTGATGGGGGCTTTTAAGTAATGCCAGGAGAGGAGACCAGTCGCAGGGGTTAAATGAGCACCTGGATTATATCACAGTGGGTGTATCCAGATATCTATCTATCCCTTCTCCTACTCCTGTGGATACAAGTACAGCAACTTTCATTTCATGGAACGAGCCACTCGCTGTTTTCTTGGCTATCCAGGACTGTCTAGGATCAACATAGCTTAGATAATAGTCCAGTTTCTCACGTGGGTGGGCATTGTTAAGGTTCAAACCCACACCCTCACTATATCAGTGTATTTACCCACGTGGGCGCGCGACAATTGGGGATCTCGCAGCCATTAATCATAATGTAGATTCGTTACAATAATGATCATTAATTAATAATAACGGTGATACTTTTTCAATGATTCGTATTGATTATGACTTGATAAAATCGGTAATCGCTATGCGTATTATCATTTCTATTCAGTAGAAAGATGGTGACGATGTTCATTCATGATAAAGAATTTGTGTGAAAACTGATGATGATGATGGATGATGATGGCTTCCTAATGGATACCAATGGATGACGATAGCTTCTCAGTGGATACCAATGGATGATGACGGATTCCTAATGGATACCAATGGATGATGATGGATTCCTAATGGATACCAATGGATAGTGATGGATTCCTAATGGATACCAATGGATGATGATGGATTCTTAATACCAATGGATGATGATGGATTCATAATGGATACCAATGGATAATGATGAATTCCTAATGGATACCAATGGGTGATGATGGATTCCTAATGGATACCAATGGATGATGATGGATTCTTAATGAATGCCAATGGATGATGATGGATTCTTAATGAATACCATTGGATGATAATGGATTCCTAATGGATACCAAGGGATAATGATGGATTCCTAATGGATATCAATGGATGATGATGGATTCCTAATGGATAGCAATTGATGATGATGGATTCCTAATGATGATGCTACCAAAGAAGACAGACAACTGACCGAAATCTGCCGTGAGTCTGGCAAGCGTACGGCTGCTTGAGGTAGTACTGGGTGCACTGTCTGGCTTTCTCGACATCATCCGCACACTGGGTGCACTTGGTAGAGTCCTCACAACAACACAGCTCGCTCCTGTCCAAGTGGCAGTTTGGTTTCGACTTCTCCAGCCCTTTCCTGGTTCTGCCACACAGAACACAGTGATGCGGCTCCAGGTTGTCTCTATTTGGTAATTATATATATATATATATATATATATATATATATAATATATATATATATATATATATATATATATATATATATAATAATATATATATATATATACATGGATACATTTTTCGCCACCAGGTAGCTCTGAATATTATTACCTAGCTGAAGGACTCTTGTAATGTACGTGCGGTTGCTGCTTCCTTCTCAACAACCGACCGACGACCGATTCACCCACTGGAGGGACCGATATGCGACTTGGTCGCCCAGTGATCGTTCTATTCACGAGAGAAGATTTTTACAGAGATTCTTTAGAGCTCGTCGCCGTAACCATGGATTATGAGCTTTGTGTGTCGATCTCGGTAGGCGGTTAGCCTTTCTGCGAAGACAGGCCAAGCTACATGGGATGAAACTCGGTGCGATAAATTCGACTCTGTCGACTTTAATTTTTTTACCCGTACAACAAAATACCACGCACATAATTACGTCGTTAAGTGAGCCAGAGTTTAAGGACATACCATACCTGAAAGGTCTGAAGTAGGTCTGATAAATGTCATACACAATGACAGAGGACAACCCCATGACTTCGCCAGAGCCAGTGGACATTAGAGCCATGGCTCCCATAGTCAGAATCAGGATCCCTCCAGCTGAACCCAGAACCTTCTCTGCTATCAGAGGCGTTACCAAGCCTGTGTGAAGGAGAGAAGAGAAGATTCAACACTGTGATGCGATGAACTGCAGTGGAGCTGTGAAAGTGTACATAAATTAGGAAACGCGAAATATATATCTGCTGTGCCGAACACAATTACAGCAATCAAAAGGCAACAAGCCTTTATCGGCAATCAATTACGAGAAAGAAAATATGGTACAAATCAAGAAAGTCACCCCATCTGGAGGCCCCGTGATTTCGTAAGGGAATTTCCGAGACACTCCTATAGTCTAGGGGTGTCTTGTGTCCTCGTCTGACTGTTTCAAGCATATCTACCACCGACGACAGCCATTGCCAACTAGTGTAATAATACAAAAACTTCAGTGAATGGATACTCACGTCGCACCTTTTGCGCTTCCCCCTGAAGTACTTCTTCCTCTTACGCAGGCGCCTTCGGTGACTAAGACCTACCGTTCACAGAAAACATAACTGCGAAAACTAGCCAATGGCAGCCGCTTTTCGACTTGATGTGTACACACCGTGAAGAAGCGAACCGCGTCATAAAGCCCCCACAATATAGGACAGCCCGTGGGAACTAGCAACACATGAATAGAAGCCAGCACTAAATCTCGCGCACGAGCGAGATAGGGTGACTTTTGTGATACGTACCGAAAATATAGCACATACGCGTACAAATTCCGCTTCCGAGACAAGATGCTGTTTATCAGCCAATATTCCTTTAACGTTAAGATCTTTTAGAATGTCATTGCATTGTTATACAAAACAATGGAGAAGTTTGGCTGCAGCCATCTTAAAATTGTGGGGGTCAGGGGGGGGGGGGGGGGTCGGGGTGGATCTCAAGTGGAGTGAGCCTCTAAGTCCCGTACCCCATGAAAAGGAACCTCATAATATGTTATTTCAACCTGCCATGCACAGTAAAGAATTTACCTTCATAGATCTGACTATTGTCCAAGAAATGAGAGCCGTTGTCCGAACTGATGGCCAGGTAAGCCATCCCAGTGGTTGTCGCCATGACGTTAGGTATGGAGAACCAGATGAACCCGGCTAGAATGAAGCCCCACACACCCTGAAATAGAGCAATATGGGCTTGAGGCAATAAATCTACTTAGTAACACCAAGTTTTATCCCATATTGCTTTTTTTTTTTCTCTACAGTACGGTTAGCTGTTTGTCGACAGCGTCGCACAAAGCACGAGCTTCGTAGCTCCGACGACGATTCCTAGGAATCTAGTTTAAAAAATTCACTCATGAACCGAACGACACAACTGTGCAACTAACCCACGACCTTCAGAGCAGAAGGCAAACAGCTTGATTGCCTCACCATGGAGGCCCTCGCTTGATTTAACAGGGTGTGAGTGTTGTACTGGATACATCATTCGTGACCAGGGACAATCCTGTGTTGGTTGGTTGGTTGGTTTCTATGTGGGTGTTTGGTTGGATGTGTGGGTTGTTTGTCGGGAGGTTTATGTAGAGCTGGTTAATCAGTGGGTGGTTCATGGATGGATGGTTTGGTCGATAGGAAAGTTGCTGGCTGAGGCGGTGGTTGTTGTTTTGTGTGAAAGTCGCTGTGGGGTATATAAAGAGTTAACGAAGCCAGGGCTTTGTGGAACATGGGTAGACATTCATGTTGTGTTGACCGGATGTGAATGTAGACATCTGAGCATTTAAAGTAGCGAAGCAGAGGCTACTTGATATTCACCGGTGACTGCAAGCACCCCGAGTTGTGTGGTGAATGTGAGATTCACGTGTAGCTGACTGCTATTGTCGATAGTGTGTTGTATTTGAGTCAGTAAGCTTTCAGTTTGTCTAAGTATGCGGACGTGTTCCTGAATTGTTCACGTTCTGTAGACGTATGGATTGTGTTATGTGACAGTTTTTAATAACGTGGTTTTATTTTGTTGAAGTTCGTAAACTGTCTGGATGACTTTGGTGGATCATAAGTTGGACTTCATTATTCTGTTTAAGTGATTTTTCTAGAATGGATGGTCGTGCGGTCCATGTGTGTTGGAGGTCGGCATAATTGTGGCTATGTGGAACGCTGGTTAACGGGGCGTCCTTAAGTGCTACAGAAGGTGCTGGGGTACCTTTGTGTGTGCTGGCAAACTTGGAGTTGAGAAGGGGAGGTATCGGGGGCTAGTTATCTGGATATCGATCATTGATACTTCAATGAGTGACTAAGTAGTAGGTTTGGATTCTTCTCACAAAGTGGTGCATCTATCTTATGTCGTCGGGTGGCGGGGCCTCTTAGAGGGAGAAGCATCAGAGGACTGTCACTGCACTCACGTGGGTGTATCTGCGCGATCGGGTGTGAGTCGCCCTTAGCAGCTACCTTGTACATAGTTCGGAAGGGTGACTTGTCAATGTCTGGAGAGACTGCCGATGTAAATAAATTTGGCAGGAAGTAGTAGACTCAACAGTCATGGATCACCAATTCATCTTCGTCCCAATGTATTCGTCTATAATAAAGAGACTTACAGAGCGCACTATAAGATAACACCTCGTGTAGTGTATTGTATTACAGCACTCGCAGACAAGGTCGGTGGTTACCATTGGACATGTAACCTGTTGGAGATATATTGTGGTGCTCCTTGTTTGGGTTAGCCTTCCTCTACTCCAGTTATAATTACTATCAGCATGTGCCATGCCAATGAGAGTGGGCGGCCATGGTTTGCGGATAGAGAGAATCCTGTGTCTACGTGTCGAGGACTGGTATCTATAAACATATATCTCTAGATACCTGGCAAACGTGCGGTACATACCCTGACTTCAGGCGTCATAAGGTGGGTGGTTGGTTGTTGATGAAATTATTAATTGGGTGGGGTTGGTAGGTAGGTGGTTGATGATGATATATTTGGTAAAACTAATTGTGTGTGTGTGTGTTTGTGGGCGTGGGTGGGTGGGGGGGGGGGTATGATTGGATCAACGGTTCAGCTGTTACGATGAGCAGTTGCATAGCTGGCTGGCTGGTTGGCTGAATGTTTGACTGGCTAGTTGAGTAAGAGGGTGAGTGGATGGTTGACTGATTAGTTACTTGCATGACTCGGGGAGGTAACAAGAACAGTAACAAACAAAAACAGGAACAACAACAATAAAAACACCATCTACATATTTACCTGAACTGGTTTGGCGGCAATGCGACTCTGCCAAGATGCCTGGTCGCAGTAAGTGACAGCAGACGACACAAAGATCTCGATAATGCCGAACATGAAAGCACCCCATGACCGGAACGTCAAATAACTGCGGACAGACAAATACACTAGTGAGTGGAAACTACATCAATATTCTAGGGAAGCGCTGCAGCTCATGTGTATCAACTGTTCCAACGTGCTATATTTTCTTCTTCTTCAGCATTCCGAGCCCTTGAGGTTCATTGCTGCAGATATCACCCGCCTCCATTTGGTTGGCCTTCTCTTTCCGGTTGGTGACACCAAGTGCTTGCAGGTCTGTCTGGATATTATCTCTCCATCATCTTCTTGGTCTCCCTCGTGGTCTACGACCATTCATCTCCCTGGTGTATACAGTTTTTACTTCTCTGTCACCTGACATTCTTTCAATATGCCCCAACCATTTCAATCTTTTAACTTTCGTGATACCAGTGATCAGTGGTGATTTAAACAGATTATGAATTTCCTTGTTGCTTCTCACTCTCCATTCACCGCTGTTTGCATCTTTGATGGGTCCAAATATTCGTCGCAACACTCTGTTTTCAAAAACCTGTAGCAAGGCTCCATCTCTTTTAGTTTCAGAGCCATATAAAAAGACTGGTCTTATCAACATTGTTTATATTTTGATCTTGGTGTTGCGAGATAGACACTTTGACTTAAGCCGATGTTGAAGGGCATAGTATACTTTATTTCCAGATTGTATTCTAGATTGTATTTCTTCTCTCAGCAAGTTGGAGCAGTTGAAGTTTACACCCAAGTACTTACGTGTTTCCGTTCGTTTGATTTTCATATGATCGACTTGTATGTGGCCGGAGTTTTATCCTTTCCCTGTGTAGTTATTATCATGTATTCTATCTTATCTTGATTGATAACTGGTCCCGTTTTCTGAGCTGATTCTTTTAATCAGTGTTTTAACAGTCCTTTGTCGTTCCAGGTTCGTTGTCCGTTTAAATCCATCCGAAATCGAGGCTTAGATATCTGTTTCGTGACGAGATAAAGTTTCACGAAGGTGGGGTGTCGGCCCCACGCTTCAACCCTCAACCTAGAGGACCAGAGTGTCTCTCTCTTTCTCTGTTCTTTACCCTTTGACCTTACCGGCTTGAGAAACCTGCTGGTAGCTAAGCGATCGCCGGCATAGCTCTCATGGTTATTGAGAAACACAAGCGTCCCCACAACGGCAAGGTGAATGTGGATCATAAAATAAACATCCTAACCGGCACAGTCTGTGACAACAGCATTAGTTATGCGGCTCTAATTCCTCAGGCTCACGAACATCCCCCAACCCCCTCCCCACAGCCCTCTTTTCTAAACAACAATAAATAGCTCTAAATACAGACAGTAGCAGCCCATGGAACCTGTGTTGTTATGGGCATGTAAAACATCAACAATATGTAGACAAGCTGGAAAACATTTACTCGCCATTTAGATGAATGCAAAAAATATCATTAATGTTTTTAAATAAAAATGAGGTAATCCTCTTTAAGACACATGAGAGTCAAAGACTGATATAACACTCAGACATAGTCGGTGTTTTCAGGGATGTTATAAGAAGGAATGGACGTGGTAACGACTGACATAGATGTATGACAAAAGCGCAAGGAAGGCAGTAAGAGGAATGCCTGGATGGCTTGTCCAGATGGATGTGGCCAGACAAGAACCATGCTCTGATCATGGATTCTGGTGATTGTATGAGGTAAACAGCTGTGTACACATACGAACATATAGAAAGAAGGGCTACCTGTTATTGAAGTTATCATCCGGCCCATGGATACAACTGATCGAATTAAACATCTTTTCTGTGTCTCCAATGGTGGCGAATTCGGAATCTTTGTTATGTAAGATCTTCACCACGAAGACTATGAAGAGTATGAACACAAGACAAGCGTTGAAATACGACACATAGAAAGTAGTTCCCAGTCCACCAATCAGCGAATAGGAGCCAAACAGGGCCGCCATGATGAGCACTGCGAATTCGTCAGAAGCATCTTTTGTCAAAGACTGAAAAAAAAAGGCATACATATTTTTTTTTCTTCTATTCGCACAGACATGCAGAGACGAACATCATAATAAACAGTCCAGTCATTGACGCTAAACCACTAACCATGACCCAAAAAGCTAACTTTTAGCCCATTCACTTCCCACAAGAAAAAAAAAAGTCCACAATAATAATAAATCCACATGGGAGCATACACAGCAGGAGTCTACCGGTCATCAGTAGAAGATCCTCCATCGACAATTGTTTCTGCCCGTGACCATTCATCCTAAACACCCTTGGAAGATGGGCCAACCTGGATCATGACGCCAGATCCACGTATCTCCTGCTGCACTTAATAGGACACGCACGGACGAGACGAGGGTGATTCAACAAGTACTGGTGAGATTTGGTTCTTTTAACCTAAAGCATCTTCACTAAAGAAGCAAGTTAAATGTACCCAAATTGTGTGTGTGTGTGTATGTGTGTGTGTAGGTGTGTGGGTGGGTGTGTGTGTGTATGTGTATGTGCGTGTGTGTGTGTGTGTGGGTGGGTGTGGGTGGGTGTGTGTGTGTGGTTGGTCTGCAATCCAGACAGAGATATGATAATATCAGCTTATCAAATCTTCAGGTTGAAGCTCGGAGGGTAAAATCCAAAGCTGAATTCATTGTGAGTCGCCTGTTTTGTGCGCAACATAAACAGTTTATAAAAAAAAGCAATACTTTTCTGATGTGATGTGTAGGACCGGACAAACAGACACCGACATAAGGACATTGCAGTAACACTTTAGCAATAGAAATGAAAGTTGTGCTGACATTTAAAAATAGTCGGACTTTAGGCCAAACTGGCTTATAGCCAGGTAACCGCTAACAACCTGAACAATTTTTTTTTTCCAGCTAGGTTTTGCTGGGACAAAATCCCAATTTCTGGATACGCAGTTCAAAGGTTCTGTGGCCCATCTATTGAGTTCAGTCGCTTTGTGCGACATTGTGAATCCTAGATTTCATGTTGACTTTTTGTGTGCGTGGTGTCTGTGCGTGCATGTGTGTATGTGCTTTTGTGTATATGCGTGTGTAAGTGTGGTGTGTACGTTTATATGTATGTGCCAGCAGCGTGTTGTGACCGCACTAAAATGGGGGGTGGCCGATTACTTTCAGAATGTCAATGCAGGTGCGATTCCGTCTTTTCTGACTGACCATTTTCGTCAATAGTGAGCTGCAAGTTTCGCGAGAGACTATTGGTGTTGGCACATCTGGCAGCCACGATTTTTCAAGTGGCACAGTGAAAGACATTTTGTGAGATTTCACCTGGCCTCGGAACTGAACAGTCTTTGGGAGACCCGACTGCAGTGATACTGGAACCTCACCTGTCGACTTTCTATATCAAATTATTTCCCCTGCTATTGTATTGTTTGTAGTAGTAGTTGTGGTAGTCGCAGTAGTAACAGTAATCGTGGTGATGGTGATGGTGATGGTAATAGATATAGTTAGACACTTGATTTATAATAGGAAATGCCAAAACAAAATACTTAAAAAAAGATAGCGCTTTTACAAGGACTAAAGGGGAAAATGAGTGGGGGGGGGGGGGTTGACGCTGTAATTCTTTCTAAAGTGTCTAGGAAGATGAGGCACACCCCCCCCCCTCCCCACAAAATATTCTGCTGGGCGGGGGTGGGCTCAAGGTGCGCAAACTATCAGATTGTGGCACCTCTGAGTATTACAGTTAATAGTATAGTGGCAGTGATAGTAACGGTATTAGTACTTTTTTTTCCCTTTGTCCTACAGCTTATGCCGTAAAGTGTGGTAGAGAGGAGTTAGTTGTACATTTCTGTCTTTTGCTCTGTTGTCTAGCTTGTGTTAATGTCATATCATGTGTCTGTAGTGAATCTTTTACTGCTTCCATCCAACTCTTTCTTGGCCGTCCTGTTGACTTGTAGTCTGTTGTTCTCACATAGTACGGCCCAGCTGCTGGCTGATTTTGTTCCATTCGGACCAGGCGACCAAACCATTTGATTTTTGGATGTTTTATGAATCATTTACAGGGACAGTGTCAACTACTGTTGAAAGTTCGTCGTAGGTGACGCTAACTCCTCTTGTCTTTTCCCGCCACATTTCTGATAGGCGCACATCTGTTATCATATGTTGTAATTTTACAGTATTCAGCCGTATTAATTTTTTCATAGTGGAAAAACAACAGCAATAGTAACTGCGATAGCCATCATGGATAAAATTCCTACAGCAGCTGCAGTTCAATAAAATCACCTGTAGTGTAAAATACGTTACTATTTAAATTTAAACAAATAATTAAATGAAAGATGTTATTCAAAATAATGAGGAAACTACGAGAAAAGTGAAGAAATTAAAATAAATGGAAAATTAAACACACATCGACTGAACTTCTGCATCGAAAAATGGAAAATGAATGGCCATTACCAGATATTAAAATGCAATAGATTACGTTCATGTTGACCTGGTGGCAGTCTTCTTGTGTTGTTTATTTTGGTTGGTTGGAAACTAGAGCTTGGAGATCATTATTAACGCCAGTAAAATGTGCAGAGGTCTCGACCAGTGGAAATTATACGATATGTTTCCTCTGTTAGACTAGATGCTGGAAAGTCGCGTCTTTGTACTAGATTCTTTTTAATATGAAAAATGAGAGCAAGTCTCTTCAAGCATGAAGTACCCCTTGTGTTTCATGCTGCACAAAGTCTGGAAGATGATCATACCGAACAAGTTTCTTTTCGGTGGGAGGAAAATGAGCGGAAAAGGTTCTTCTAGCCTAACTACACATTACGCTTCCTATTTTGAGTCAGATCCTTACATTATGTGACTGAGCTAGAATATAACAGTAGTCGGTATTGCGTATTCTCTGGCGAATGCTGGGAAGTGTATTTAAACACGCTTTTCCACTTGAGCCAACGGCATCCGCAAACGGACGCATTTTTTGAGGATACTTGTCTTATCCTAGGACGAAGAAATGCGACTTAAAATTCCTAATGTTATGGAAGGACAGATGAGGTCTTAGCCTTGAATGGTAGTTAGTCTAGTAGGGAAGCTCCGACAGGAAGACAGACAACTTCTGCTTTGTTCCAAACGTATCGATGTTACCTTCCCTTTGAAGTTAACTAAGTAGATGGAAGTACTAACCATGCTACATGGACAACGCACGAGACCTGCAACACGGCCCATGCTTTGTGTTATGGTGAGGAAGAACTTCATCACAGGTCTTGCTAGTCACACTCCCCATCGCCACGGACGTTTAGTCTCATGTCTTCCTATAGTACTGTACAGACCTATCGTCTGGAAAAACGGAAGTGTGCCAACCAAAAAAATATATTTTGCCCTGAATTCTGAACTAATCACAGTCATCTTATCTTGATCCTCTTTTACACTGCGTGGTCTATCTAAAGTATAAGTTAGGCTGAGTTGAGTTGAGATAAGCTAAGTTATGTCCCTGGACCACTGGCTCCTGTCGAAAGTGATACCCAGTTACCTTACTTTGCTTTCTCTTTTGAGTTGTCTATCGTCAGTTGTGAGGCTTGGAACACTAGCTCGAACAATCCTATTGTTTGTAGAGCACCAAAAAATCATAAAACATCCACCTTTTCTGGACTGATAACATCACGCACTTATCTCGGTACACCAGCCAGCCACGTTACCCATTGTTGCCCATAGATCTTTAGCTGTCTATTGCCCACCTGTCCAATTCCTATATGCAAGATCGGTATCTGCAAATATTTGTTTGAATTTCACACTAGGTGCTAGTCCACACGATGTCAGTTCTTGTATTCCTGTAATGTCATGTTTAATTTTCTTTCCCCTTTGTTAATCAGACATCTCATCTAAGGCATACTGCTAGGTAGTAATAAAGAAAACAATTGTTAGCCGTCTCCATAATGAAAATTGACTACAATGTGCTCACTGCTGTCTTCTGGAAATAACCTGCTGTGAGGCCTCAGTGGCTTCCACGGTGCAACTCGCGAACCACTGCCAGAAAATCACGAGAGCGCTATTTTAAACTCATTCAGCACCTGAATATTTCACAGGACATGCCAAATAAATAAATAACCAAGATGAAAAGGCATGCAGATGTTAATTTCCAAGTGGCAATACATCGTCTTTTGTCGTCTTACTGATACCAGGCTATAGGCCCGTCTCGTGCTTTCTTGTATTTGTCTCGTGCTTCTCGGGTGGCTTGGGTGATCGATTTGCTCATCCGTTTGCAGGTTTCAGGAACACCATTTATCCATCTCTTTCTTGGTCTTCCCCTCACTTTGCTTCCAGATGTTCTGCTGTAAAAAAAATCCCATATGCAGTTTGGTCTAGCTACATTCTCACTAGATGGTCGAACCATTTCATTCTCTTTCTGTCAGTATAATTCAGACAGTTTCATTACAACTTTCTCTCTAATACAAAATTGGCATTTATAGCCTTGCCCCTTCTTGTATCCACGTCGGTAGCTTAGGCGTTGCGAACGCCCTTCCTAATTGCGGGTGGCGGGTTCGACCCAGCTGCAGACGATTTGGCAGCAGACCACCTTGTGGTTTTTTTTATTTTTTTATAGTGGTATCAAGAGATGATCGTTGAGTAGCAATGGCAAAATACTGAGCGTAAATTTGCCTAGAAAAACCACAACAGCTAAAAAAAAAATTGCTGGGGTTGGTTCTACAAAATCCTGTAAAGGACAGCAACTAACTTGTTACCTTCTTGTGTTGTTAGTGATCTTACTAGACAGCGCATTTCACATGCAGTTATTTCTTTACTAGTATCATATTCATTGTCCATGTTTGGCACACTGACAGCATAAATTAGGGATGTAATGCTCTTCTTCATTTGCTTTTTGCAGGAAGAAAGGCTCTTTGGTGTCTAAGCAAAAGTGCTCTGCTGGGTGACAATGGCTATGCGCTCAGTGGTAATTACGTTTGTAAAGCCAGACTTCTTTAGTTCGCTTTGACTAAATGATCAACCTAAAATATCCCGTTAAGCTATGGTGGCAAATCAAGGGAGAGTGTCACTCACACGTTGTGCGTTGGTTGGGATTTCGTAAAGCCTAAACCGCGGAAATCATTTCTTAGTACTCAAGAGTCATGAAATTGTTAAACGCATTCACCAACCTCTAAGCCACAGAGCAAGGCATATAAAAATGAAAGCTGTACAACATACAAGATAACAAGGTACCTGGATGGTGGCTTTACCGGCCAGAAGAACTCCAATTGTGATGACAAGGTTGGTGACGATCGCAAAGAAGCAGAAGACTGTGTGGGCTCTCTTGCCGAACCGCGCTTTGATTATCTGTCAACAAAAGAGAGTAAAAAACACTCGAATCCACATCATCCTGACCGGCACAAGACTGTTGGTAACCGTGCAGAGATATTAAACAAAACGAGAAGAGCACTTGTCAGTTTCACATTATCACAAATTAACAACGTTTTAGCTAGAAAGTCTCTGTCTGCATCTGACAAAAAAATCACAATTATTAAGTTACTAACAAAGAATACAGAAAATCAATGACCTGTAAATTTCTTCTAGAAATAACCATAACAAGTTTGGACAGTAGAAACACTTGTGTGATGCAGGAAGAGGGCGCTAGACAGAAGAAGAGGAGGGGTATATGCCTGGGAAGAGAGGATGAGGAAGGCCAAAGAGAAGATAGGTACAGGATGTGGTGGATGATCTCCCGCTGGGTGTATCGGACGCGGGACATCCTGCTTGTGATCGAAAAGTTTTCCGGAGGGTTGTTATGGGTGCAAGGTTCCGCAAAGGACATGCTACTGACTGACTCGGGGGACAGCCAGGATACACCGAAACAAAAACAATCTGGGATTGCCCCCGTGAAAACGGGACATATGGTCGCTCTGTTTCTAAGATATCGATTGCCTTACTGAAAGTTGTTTGTGCGTGACATTAGCCTGGGATGATGACGTCACGTTAAGCTGACGTCAACAGCCCCATGAACTATAATTGAAGACGGCCATGGTTGGGATGACTATAGGTTTTACAAGGCTTGTGTTACCAATATGGGTACCAAGAGAAGGAGTGTATCGTGATTGCCTTTCGTGATGAATTTTGATTGGATTTGATTCAAGAACCGACATCACAGCACTCGGGGCATTCCCATAAGCGCCCCGTCCCCATCTTCAACAGCCAGCGAAAATGTTCCAATACAAATAGTGCCATTAGCATTGTGATTAAACGTCCGTCTTGCCTTTCGTTTGAGCCTCAAGACATGGACAAGGTCTGGTGGTGAAGGAGGGGGTGAAGCATGTGGTGCTTGACTTGAGCCAGTGGAATCACAGTGGAAGAGAGGTTCAAGGGATACAGGAGGAGATTGGTGGCCTAAGTTGGAACCTATATATATGCCACGGTAGACTGTTTTGTCAGAAGTGAACAATGGGGCTGACTTAAGGAATTGAAGGAGTTACCAGGTGACAGGTTACTCATATGTGGGGATTTCAACGCGAGGAACAGAGAATGGGACAGCAGCGGAGAAAACCGACCGAGAAATGCTCTTGCAGAGGCCATGGTGGACTCCAATATGGTCTGCATCAATGATGGGAGGCCGACTAGAATCGCAATGAGGTCTAGCGATGCAGACACAGCCATTGACTTGACATGTGTCTCCTAGTCGTCGGTCTTAGATGTTAAATGGACTGTCCTGAATGTCCAAGGGAATGATCACCTACCATGTTCAGTCCTGATTTCTAAACCCAGTAAGGTTAAAGCTGGGAGAGCACGCAAAACCTTCTGGTATAAGTGGACCAACAACCTACTCGGACGCCTCAGACAGGGAGCATGCAACAGAGCTGCCAGAACTAATTTTCTACAGCCCACATGGTGGACTCCTATCGTGATGAAGAAGCGAAGAACGATAAAGAAGAAAAAGAAGTATTTGCAGCAACGCATGAGCGTGCGGTAAGTTGCATGGCACAGAAAGAGTTAAGGCCGATCTTTTTATACTAATTTCCGTCGTTTATGATTGACGTCTACTACCCTAATTAACAGATTTGACTGGTTAAGATGCTGTCGAATGAAACATGATATGTACGTAAAATACTGGAAGTAATTTGAAAGAAAAACTTGAAGTACCAACTGCTAGTCCGTCCAGTCAGTTTAAAATAAACTGTAAAAATATTGCTTTTTTTCATTTGACAATAAATCTATTTAAGAGTACACAGTCTCTCACACTGGAAGCAAAAACAGGACTCCAAGAGACCACTAAATAAAAGCACACTTGTGCCACACGACGGGGCTGGGAGTGGAAGAGGGGGGGGGGGGGTTTGGGCGTCGCCTGTGTCTGGGATTTGAGTTATTAACATTTAGTACACTATGTCCATTGCCAGGGGCGTATCATCCTTCCAGGACTATAACTGGTGTAATTACCCAAACACAAGGGCACTGGAGATTAATTTTCTCTCATCCTTCTCTCCATCTCCATCGCTTCTAAAAACGCCGCTGTATTCCCGCCTTATCGTAAGATGGATTTTTTTGGTTTCTTAGCGGTTTTTTTCGTCTTTTCAGACGACAGTGTTATCTAGTGCCATGTAAAGGCGCGGGAAACACTTTCTATGGTGGGTGAGTGTGACTAGCAAGACCCGCCTGCGTGTTACATAGCACAAAGCCTGGGCAGTTGTTGTCCATGCATCTCCTGATCTCTTTCTCTCTGTCGCTCTCGGCCTGCGTTCATTACTCCAAAGGAAATGTAACACCAATACATTTGGAACAAAACACGCTGCAGATGCTGCCGGATTACCCAGTTACCGCATCTGCAGGCGCCAGGCTTGTTCTGCATTACATCCTATATATGAACGTCCATAAACGGTCATCATCATCGTCATCGTAGAGCAGGTCCTTTGCAGAAAGTCGATCTCATCACGATCTGCCTGAAAGAAACTCGGTCTCTAGCCAGTTCTCCCGCCTAATGTACTTTCATACTCAAGGAGTCGCTTATATCCTGTGCCCATCTTCGTGTCGTTCGGCCCCTGCCCCTCCTTCCTGGTACCATGTCTTCTGCTATAATTTTTTCCAATCCGTCATGGTTCTTGATCTGATCAAAATATTTCAGCTTCTGAGACAGGATGCTGTTTATTAGCCAAACTTCCTCAATGTTCAGATCTTTAAAGATGTCAGTATTTCTCCTCTTCTTTGTCTAAGATATTTTGAGAAACTTTCTATACCACAAACGGTAAAGACTTTAAATAACAGAGTTGCAACAGAGCGTTTATCAAGTGGTATTCTTTTACTATGAGACAAAGTTTATTACAGGTCTTGTTCTGGAGCTTCTCTACAAACATTTGTTTCTTCTGTTTTTGTTAAATTCTTTCTTTTTCTTTGATTCCTCTTTCAAAACTTCAGGTGTCGAGGATGGTGCAGGTTTCTGCTTCTCAATGTTCTGTCCACCTGGAACACAGACGGCTAATACATTTTGAGTTATGTTTTCCTGAAATTATCTTTCCACACTGTCCGCGATCTACCCCGTGCTCAAAGTCATACTTTTCTTTTGGTATATGCCTTGTATTGTATGACTCTGCAAGGTAACCTCTCTGTGTGGGCAGACATTGTACTCTCAGACAGTCTTCGTCAAACATCTCAGAAAGACTTCGTCAAACATCTCAGACAGACTTCGTCAAACATCTCAGACAGTCTTCGTCAAACATCTCACACAGACTTCGTCGAACATCTCAGACAGACTTAGTCAAACATCTCAGACAGTCTTCGTCAAACATCTTAGACAATCTTCGTCAAACATCTCAGATAGTCTTAGTCAAACATCTCAGACAGTCTTCGTCCAACATCTCAGATAGTCTTAGTCAAACATCTCAGACAGTCTTCGTCAAACATCTCAGACAGTCTTCATCAAACATCTCAGACAGTCTTCGTCAAACATCTCAGACAGTCTTCGTCAAACATCTGAGACAGACTTCGTCAAACATCTCAGATAGTCTTAGTCAAACATCTCAGACAGTCTTCGTCAAACATCTTAGACAATCTTCGTCAAACATCTCAGACAGTCTTCATCAAACATCTCAGACAGTCTTCGTCCAACATCTCAGACAGTCTTCGTCAAACATCTCAGACAGTCTTCGTCAAACATCTCAGATAGTCTTAGTCAAACATCTCAGACAGTCTTCGTCAAACATCTTAGACAATCTTCGTCAAACATCTCAGATAGTCTTAGTCAAACATCTCAGACAGTCTTCGTCCAACATCTCAGATAGTCTTAGTCAAACATCTCAGAAGTCTTCGTCAAACATCTCAGACAGTCTTCATCAAACATCTCAGACAGTCTTCGTCAAACATCTCAGACAGTCTTCGTCAAACATCTCAGACAGTCTTCGTCAAACATCTCAGACAGTCTTCATCAAACATCTCAGACAGTCTTCATCAAACATCTCAGACAGTCTTCGTCAAACATCTCAGACAGTCTTCGTCAAACATCTCAGACAGTCTTCGTCAAACATCTCATGTCCGAGTTTACCAGGTTTCATTTCTGAATTATTGTCAATGACCGAGCCTGGCAGCTGTTGAGTGTAGTGAGCATCAAAGTAGTTATTCTACTCTATGAATGGATAGAAAGTATTCGGAACAGCTAACCTTCATCCTCTGGATCTACACATCTGGACATGCAGATATTTTTTCAGGCCATGCCGGTGTGTTGGGAAAAGACAGCCTGGATGTCTTTGCACTACTTGGTTGTGAACTGATGTATGATAAGTTAGATATTGTGAGGGCCCTTTAGGAACGGATGACCAGTCTGGAGGCGCGTAAAGATCACTACAGTCTGAGGAGAATGGCGTTGCGAGGAGTTAACAGGGGATCTGGCCGACGCTCAACACTCAGGGAAAGGTTAAGACGGTCACTGGTACCATCGTAACTGGAACTTTTTGCTTGCTGTTGAAGATGGGGACTGAGCACTTATGGGAGTGTCCCGAGTGCTGTGATGTCGATTCCAAATTCAACATTTAACCTGGATGTGTAGGAGTAATGGTAACGAAAGAGCTTATCAGCTGGCAAGTAATGTACCAGTGCAAAGGGGAAGTAGCATAGAGAGAGCTAATATAATCGACATTGTACGGACTAGGCTGGGGGATAATAGCAAATCTCTGACGCTAACATGACTGCGTGACCGAGGAGCTAAGCTTGGTGAAGCACGTCTGTCGTTTGCGATGTGAAGACAGCAGATACTACAACCAGCTGCTCATAGAGTCAGTAGAGGTACCTTGGAGTGGCTGCTGCATCGGGGGACTGAGCACGCTTAGAGATGCCCAGTGTGCAAAGATGTCGAGTGGATTACA